CTCCATCGGCAGCCCCCACCGCGAGTGGCTCCTCCTCCCCGCTGCTTTTCCCACCCCTGACCCTTGATCTTTTCTCGCTCCCATCAGTCAACACCAATGGAAAAGATCGGGATGGTGGTGCTTCTTTTGCACTTTAGCACGTGAATCTCCTCACTGAATCTTCTCAACATCGCTTGGGAGCAGTGCCATCCATACACCCACTGTACAGATGGGCCGACTGAGGCTCAGCTGTTTAAGGAGCTCTCCGGAAGTCACTGAGCTGCGTTATAATCGAGTCTGGAGGTGCCGGGGGAATAACAATACTAAATTGAGATTCAACGTGCAACTAGGTACCAGGCACCTCCGTGGTCTCTGGGACTAGAAACCCGAAGGGGACAGGCAGGTGAGCAGGTGAAACCACAGTGAGGGACTTTCGCTTCCGCAGGGACAACTGGGCACCGCAGTTATGAGTCGCTCCAAGTTTGCGGATATTGGTATAAACTTGACGGAGCCTCTGCTCAGAGGGATTTGGGGGGCAGGCTCCCAAAGCACATGATGACGTCAGGGTGTCATACAGGGTGTGGAGTGGGAGTTTATGATTCCAGACGGAAAAGATGCACCGCATTTGGCACACCAGATGAAATGTTGTGTGTTTTTTTTAAAGTAATGTTGGGCAGATCTCTGCTTTTCTTTTTTTTTTAAAAAAAAAAATATTTTAATGATTTTTTACAGAGAGGAAGGGAGGAGATAGAGAGTTAGAAACATTTGTGAGAGAAACATCGATCAGCTGCCTCCTGCACAACCCCTACTGGGGATGCGCCCGCAACCAAGGTACGTGCCCTTGACCGGAATCAAACCTGGGACCCCACTGAGCCAAACCGGTTAGGGCTAAAATGTTTTTCAATACAATTGGATGTCACCCTTCAAGATGTGATGAATTTGAAAAGAATATTTACTTAATGGAGTCGCTAAATATTGCTGAAAACAAGAGGGGAAAGTTGTAGCAAAAGGGAATGTGGACTTGATTTTGACGGACTACAGTTTTGTCCCAAAGATACTCAGCTCAAATATTTTGAAAAACAGTTTGAACTTCAGGACAAAATAACCAATGTTTCTTCACTGTTGAAACTCACATGCTGAATTTTTTAAAAATATATTTTTATTGATTTCAGAGAGGAAGGGAGAGAGAAATAGAAACATCAATGATGAGAGAGAATCATTGATTGGCTGTCTCCTGCACACCTCCTACTGGGGATCGGGGCATGTGCCTTTGACCAGAATCGAACCAGGAGGCCTTCAATCTGCAGGCGGACGCTCTATCCACTGAGCCAAACCAGCTCGGGCAGACTTTATGCACGTAATAGAGCTAGCTGGGGGTGTGGGTGGAGCAGCGCAGTCGTTTGATGGAACTTGGCAGCACTGACAGTCCGCTGCGTGGGTCTCCATGGGACTCAGTGCTGCTCGCTGAACACTGAGCTCCTGGGGGAGTTCAGAAGTCAATACCTGATGAAAAAATCAATGATTGAATCGAAACCGGTTTGGCTCAGTGGATAGAGCGTCGGCCTGCGGACTGAAGGGTCCCGGGTTCGATTCCGGTCAAGGGCATGTACCTGGGTTGCGGGCACATCCCCAGTAGGGAGTGTGCAAGAGGTAGCTGATTGATGTTTCTCTCTCATGGATGTTTCTAACTCTCTATCTCTCTCCCTTCCTCTCTGTAAAGAATCAATAAAATATAAGCAACACATTTCACACT